GCCCTAAATTTTAATTCTCGAAAACATTAGCCTTGCAGCGATCGGAAGAAGACATAATGGGACTATTTTGGCTGAGGCTCGAACTCGTGTGGCTGCCGACTTTGCCACGTAGCCACGCAATGAGAAAAACATATTTAAATGACATCTACAATTTTGCTTAACATTTAAAAGGCTATTGATTCAACTGACAGAAATTCACTAAAAATTTACATTTTGTCAATGCAGTTAATAATATATTTTAACAGCAGTGGATCTTTCATAACTGCAAAGAATTGTTTAATTTTCTTTGATGATGATTAAAAGATTTTTTACTGTTCTGAGCTCATCAAGATTGGGAACTAGATATTTAATTAGAAAGAAATCTGAGCTGACTAGCTAATTTCATTACTGAACGCTTCATTAAATAGTATATTGTTTCCAACAAATTAAATGGCATTCATGGGAAGTCCTAACCAGATAACAGACATCAAAAGCGTCTCAAAATACTGAAGATTCTCGCAAAGTTTCATTAAATTCACTAAAGGAATTCCATATATTTAACAGAAATGTTAATTAAAAATTAGAATAAGTAATTAAAAATTATTGTCAATATAGTTATTTATCTAATTATAATTGTTAATCAAAATTATTAATTAAAATTATTATCAATATAATTAATTAAGCATCTCATTAAAATTATAATATTATTAATTATGATTCATAATTATTTTAAAATACAAGTTCAATAATAAAGACGTTATTATTAAAGTAATTAGGTCAATAAATCAATTTACGTTTCGAATCCGCGGATCCGGATCCTTAGACGGACTCGGATTCGAGTCCACGAAAGGAACGAATGACTGAAAGGTACGTTTTGGTCCGAGAAATAAATCTGTTCAAATCAGGGTTGCCAGATCAAAATAGCGAAATAAGGCCAAACCTTCTTAAAAATAAGGCCAAAAAGGGCAAATTTGACAAATTGATTGAAAACTTCATTTGCTATTCGAAAAAAAGGCTATCTTTCATGAAAACGAATCCCACTTGAATGCATATGTTCAATGCTTTATTATTAAACTAAAATCTAAGTGATAGAAATTTAAAACATACTTGTTCTATTAAGGAGTTATTTCGTCTGAAAGCTCATTATATATCATTTCGAATGTGTAATATCAAAAATAATTTGTCCTTAAAACGGCCAATGTGGTGTACTGTATTGCAGGGTGAATATTAATACTTTTTATAAAAAAAAACACTTTTATTTTAACATAATTTTCACCAAAAAACCGTTCATTCGCTGAAACTATATACATCAGTCGTTACATTTCGGTCTCTCTTCAATACCAACCTTTTTCTTAAAAAAAACTAACATCTTTTTTCCTTCGTTGCTAAGCAACGCTCGTAAGACAAATACCGTATCGCCACACTACATTTTAGAAAGAAAACTTTAGAAATAACTAAATATTTTTGTAACGAATATCACAACCGCAACCCCGGTTCAAACTAGAGATGAATCGTTTGAGAACGAACGGATCAGGCATGCGCAGAAAGACCGAACAATGGCAAGCGCTGTTCCGTCGGGATATGAACTTGTATGCTCTTTCTGTGCATGCCTGATTTTTCCACGTATACGTGAACTAATTTTCGAGACAATATTGGCCTTGTGTAAACTTATTGTCAACGCGTCGAACATGTCGAATTACTTAGGCTATTTACATCGTATGCACAAATAAATGGTCTTTAGATTGACATCAATATTTGAAGATTTCTCTACCCAAAAAATTGATATCTTTTTCCAAACGATCAATATCGTTTCCAGTCACTTCCCATCTTCTACGACATTCTGCGTCTCATGCCAAAAAATTCTTAAAATAATTGGCAAACTCTTCTTTAACTCTAGTATGTTCAGATATAAAAAAAAAAAATTAAGATTAAAATTTCGTTACACACCATATTGTGGTAAAACAGGAGAGATATAACTTCTGCTGGTTCTGTAATGCAGTCTTACACACATACCAGTATATTTATTTATTAATGGAGTAATGTAGTAATTTTTTCATGCAAAGAATGTAACGTCTCTTGATTAGAGTAACCTAGATACCATCTGAGAACCACGGGAATGGGAAATGGGCACAAAATGTTATGAATGAAGTCACTTCAACGCATTAATTTAATTAATGATTTTTTTAAAAAAATTATTATATGAATTGCCCAAAAATTAGGAAAGCAGAAAAATTTTAATCCGAAAAAAATAGGAGGATAAGAAATTTGATACTGAAATCCACGCTTGTAGTGATCACGGATATAATGATCAATTCGGTTGTGTTGATTAAAATAGCGAGGATCGCCATCTTCAACTAAATATCATTGAAGGACAAAAATTATAACAAGTTTGTAAGTAATTATAAAGATTTTAGCTCCGAGTAGAGCGACGAGCGGGGCTATATCTCAGAGGTAGAGTATTTGACTGCCGATCGAGATGTGCCCTGTTCAAACACGGGTGCCCATGCATATAATCTTTTGGAACGCAGGTGGATGGCGAAGTAACTATATCGCCCTCTGTGACTTAACATCGTAGAATTATCACAAGATTATAAGTAATTATAAAGATGAGCACGGGGAATAGCTCAGTGGTAGACCATTCGACTGAAAATAGAGAGGTCCTGTGTTTAAACCTGATAACACCCAGAATGCAGTCTTTTAGAACACAGGATCGCACTCTTCGACTAAATATCATTCACTAAAAAAAATTGTCACAAGTTTGTAAGTAATTATAAAGATGTTTCCTCGGAGTAGAGAGAGGACTGAGGGTATAGCTAAAAGGTAGAGCATTCGACTGCAGAAAGAAAGGTCCCCGGGTGCGGCCTGAATGTAATCTTTTGGAACACAACTATGTCGCCCTCTTTGAATAAATATCATTGAGTGAAAAAAATTATCACAAGTTTGTAAGTAATTATAAAGATGTTTCCTCGGAGTAGAGAGAGGACTGAGGGTATAGCTAAAAGGTAGAGCATTCGACTGCAGAAAGAAAGGTCCCCTGGTGCGGCCTGAATGTAATCTTTTGGAACACAACTATGTCGCCCTCTTTGAATAAATATCATTGAGTGAAAAAAATTATCACAAGTTTGTAAGTAATTATAAAGATGTTTCCTCGGAGTAGAGAGAGGAGCGGGGGTATAGCTGAACGGTAGAGCATTCGACTGCAGAAAGAAAGGCCCCCCTGGTGCGGCCTGGATGTAATCTTTTGGAACACAACTATGTCGCCCTCTTTGAATAAATATCATTGAGTGAAAAAAAAATTATCACAAGTTTGTAAGTAATTATAAAGATTTTAGTTCGGAGTAGATAGAAGTGCGGGGCTATAGATCAGCCCGTTACAAAACCGTGTTATACACTGAATGTAATATTTTTGAACACAGATGAATGATAAGACAACTATATTGTCCTCTTTACCTAAATATCATTGAATACTCTCAAGTTTATAAGTAATTATAAAGATTTTATCTTGGAATCGAGTGACAAACGAGACTATTACTCAGTGGTAGAGCATTGGACGCATATCGGGAGGTCCCCGCTTGAATTCCGGGTGCCCCTTGAATATATTCTTTTTGAACACAGGTGGATGGAGAGACCACTATATCGGGCTCTTTAAACAATATCATTGGATAATAAAAATTTTAACATGTTTGTAAATTAAAATAACTTTTTTTTTATCTCGGATAAGAAAAACGAGCGGGGATATAGCTCAGTGGTAGAGAATTCGACTGCAGATCGAGAGGTCCCCGTTAGAACTCGGGTGCCACTTTGAATGTAAACTTTTTGAACAAAGGTTCATGGAGATACCACTATAACGGGCTCTTTAAAGAATATCATTGGATGATAAAAATTTTAACATGTTTGTAGATTAAAATAATTTTTTTATCTGGGATAAGAAAGACGAGCCGGTTATAGCTCAGTGGTAGAGCATTCGGCTGCAGATCGAGAGGTCCTCGGGTAAAACCCGGGTGCCCCCTGAATATAGTCTTTTGTAACACAGGTGGATGGCAAGGTAGCTATATCGCCTTCTGTGACTTGACATCGAAGAATTATCACAAAA